GTGAGAACCTCAGTGAACTTAGTGAGGGCCTCAAGAGCATAAAAAAGGGCCAGTCAGAAATGACGGATGCACAGTCAGAATTGAAGGAGGCACTAACTGAAATAAAGAATAATTTATACAGCTTTAATAGTAGAGTACGTAAATCCAAGAAGCAAACCATCGATTTGGAATATAAGGAAGCATAAAACGCCCAATCAGAACAGCATAAAGAAAAAAGAATCCAAAAAAAACGAGGATAGTGTAAGGAGCCTCTGGGACAACTTCAAGCGTGCCAACATTCGCATCTTGAGGGTGCCAGAAAAAGAAGAACAAGAACAAGAAATTGAAAACCTGTTTGAAACAATGATGGCAGAAAACTTTCCTAACTTGGTGAAGGAAACAGACATACAAGTCCAGGAAGCACAGAGAGTCCCAAATAAGATGAACCCCAAGAGGCCCACACCAAGACACATCATCATCAAAATGCAAAAGGTTCAAGACAGAGAATCTTAAAAGCAGCAAGAGAAAGGCAGCTGGTTACCTGTAAGGGAGTTCCCATAAGGCTGTCAGCTGATTTCTCAAAAGAAACTTTGCAGGCCAGAAGGGAGTGTGGCAAGACATATTCAGAGTGATGAATGAAAAGCAAGGACCTACAACCAAGATTACTCTATACTGCAAAGCTGCCATTTAGAATCGATGGCCATATAAAGACTTTTCCAGACAAGAAAAAGTTAAAGGAGTTCATCACCACCAAACCATTAAAATATGAAATGATGAAGGGTCTTTTTGAAAAGAAAATATATGAACAAACAAAATGGCAATGAATACATATCTATCAATAATGGAATCTACAAACAAAATGAACAAGTAGAACAGAAACATTCTCATAGATACAGAGAACATTTTGTTGCTTGCCAGACGGGAGGGGGGTTTGGGGAATGGGTGAAAAAGGTGAAGGGATTAAGAAGTACAAATTCATTGCTAGACTGACAAACTTCAAAGGGAAAGGGGTTGGGGGGTGGGAAGAAATAAACCAGAGAACTTATATGCATAACCAATGGACACAGACAATAGTGTGGGAAAAGGCGGGAGGGGGGCGGGAGTGGGGAGGAGGGGGTCAATAGGGGAAAAATGAGGAACATCTGTAATACTTTCTACATTCAACAATAAAGATTTAAAAAAATAAAAATAAAACACATATTTCCAAAGCAAAAAGAAAAAGAAAAAAAAGAAAAGAGTATGTGGAAACCAGTAGGAAGTTGTCACAGTAGTCCAGGTGACAAATGATGATGGCTTGGTTTGGCAGTAGCAGTGGGAATGGACAGAAATAAAATTGGAGAAAAAGAACTACAATAGGAGTGCTGTTTCCATACATTGTGAAATTCAGTCCGACCCATTACCTGTATATTCTGCATTAGTTTCCTAGTGCTGCTAGCAAATTATCACAAATTTAGTGGCTTAAAACAACAAATTTATTGTCTCATGGTTCTGAAGTCCAAAGTCAGTTTCACTGGTGTCCACAGGGTCACGCTCCCTCAGCAGGCGCTAGGGAAGAATCCGTTCCTTGCCTCTTCCAGCTCCAGCAGCTATAGCACTCCAATCTCTGCCTCTTGGCCTCTTCTGTGTGATAATACCTTCTTTTGCCTCTTATAAGAATACTTGTGATTGCATTTAGGGCCCACCCAGATTATCCAGGATAATCTCTCCATCTCAGGATCCTTAATTTAGTCACGTCATTTCCCATTTAAGGTAATATTCACTCTTTTGCCATAGAAGAGAATAATCCCAGAGGACATGGACATTTTTTGAGGGGTTGTTATTCGGGTCTATAGGGTTGAAATCACTTTTGGCTATGTTTGTTTACAGATCAAAGTGGAAAGCAACGCTGTGAAGGTAATAATGCCATTTAGTAAATTGATTAGAAAATGAAATGTTACAAAAAGAAAACTGAATCTTTGTAAGTGGGCTTTCAAGAATTCTTGGAAAGGTAGGCTGAAGGACAAAAAAATTCCGAAAGACTCATGGGCTTTATACATTTCATTCTTGATATTAGAATGCCTGAAAGGACTGATGTGTGTATCTATCTATATCGATATCTATATCTATGTGTGTGTATCAGTATACACACACGCGCACCCCCCTCCCACACACATATATTGTTAATGCTAATCTGAGGATATTTTCCCATTAATTTTGAGAGAGTAGAAGGGGGCTGTGGGTGTGGAGAAACATTTATGTGAGAGACACATCAATTGGTTGCCTCCCATATGACCTCAACTGGAGCTGGGGCTGGAATCTGCAACCCAGGTGTGTGCCATTGACCAAGAACTGAACCCGAGATCCTTTGATCCACAGGCCCATGCTCTAATTGCTGAGCCAAATTGGGCAGGGCCAGGCTGCTATAGTTACACATTGCATAGTGGGTCACTCAAACACAAGGAGTATCCCATGTCAGTAGGGCTGGGTATGGGCCGTTCAGCTGTGGTGAGACATGGATGGGAGGGAGAGTGAGAAAGCAGTGGACAGTGGAATGGGAATGCAGGGCCAGGCTATCCTATAGAGGTAGAGCAAAACAGGAGCAGGTACATCTAAGAGGCTGTGGTTAGGAGACCCAAGGGGGAAGCACAAATGTCACTGTAGGCAAGCCGAGATCCAGCACCAGAAATACAACCATGAGAGATCCTGGCAGGTTGGAGACATGAGGACAGTAACATAGGAAATAGTTAAGCTCCAGGCTCCAGATTGGGGGTTCATGGTCCTCTAGTTACCAGTACTGGGGCCCAAGATATAGCCAGATAAGCAATGAGGGTGACTCCTACCAAATCTTAGAGTACTTGGCTAGAACTTCTTAAGTGCTCCTTCCTGGAGTCCAGAACCTCAAGGTAGATTTGCAAGTAGGGAGAGAGTCTGACAAAGCTCTATGTAACTCTGATAGATGAGGACTCCTGTGTTTAAATTTGTGGGGGCAGCCTAGCCCTTCTAAGACATAAAGAAGTCATTACTGACAATAGAAAGAAACATAACTTAATACGCAGTGTAACTAAATCCAGAATATGTTTATTTTGCTAAAAGCCATCATCGGCAAGGAGAGTAATAAGAACTAACAAGCATAGTTTGAGGGGCAATTTGATATCATGATAAAGTACACATATTCTGAAGCCAAAGTCCCTGGTTCAAAACCTGGATAAATCATGGCAATATTTTGTTCAGCAAATTATAGCGAGTTTGTGTTTATAAAGACTAGAGTAATATCTGGGTAACCAGGACTCCTGAATTCTAGACTAACATCCTGGCCCTGAACCTAACCATGTTACCTTGGGAAAATGGCTCAAAAGTTTTAGGCCTCAGGTTGCCCATATGTAAAATAGAAGGTTGAGGTCTAAGATTACTTAAAGGTGCACTTTAAAGTGATCTCATGAAATCTTTCAATCCTCATGCTCTTCAAACACCTTCTCGTTGCTGTACAGTGTAAACAACTTTGAGAATCATGATATTATCTTTGTTTATATAGTAATCTTGATCTAAATGTTACTACTCCCATTTCGGAGATAAGGAAATGGAAGTCTAGATGGGATTAAATAATTTGTTCAAATCACATGGCTAAATTATTGCGAGGCTTGGATTAGATTTCAGTTCTGCCCATTCTAAAGCTGTGTACTTTCCATTTTAATGTATGTTATTTTGTCATTAGACTTTATTTCTGTATAGCAGGCCAGAATAACTTACTATCTATGAATTTACCCATGTAGCTCTAATTTGGATATTTCTCAGTTGAGACTTTGAACTGTCATTTGTTTAGTTCTGTCCTATTTCAACACTCCCTCTGTTTTCTTGTTATTTATGGTGCTGTCAGTCCAGATGGTCTAACTCCCATTTCTTACTCCTGTTAAATGTCTTCTACATGTCTTGTTTTCTAGCAGTAACTCCTACCTGAAAAAAAAAAAGTCTTATGTACTGCTCATTTAATCCATTTTACAATGAAAAAAATGTGTGAAATTGGTGCTAAAATAATAAAGGATAAACAAATATCAGGAAAATAAAAACTCTAGTAATTATTTTCCTTTTTCTTTTATATTTAGGTTTTCATGAGACAAGGAAAATAATGTCCATGTCTAAACACTGGAACAATCTAAATCATATTAATGCTGTAATCATTATCATCTTCTAAAGGAAACTCTAAATCAATATTTGAATGGAACAATGGTATTTAATATTTCGCTTTCAGAATATAGAAACATCTCAGAGAAACTGTGACACGAGTGTATGTATATTTGAGGTAATATTTGTATAATTAGTAACTCTGACAGCAATGGGAAATGCTTGCTTTTTGGATACGTTGTACATTAACATTCTGAGTCAAGAATTCAAAATTGCTGTAAAATAATTTTAGTTCAGTGCTGTCACTGTTATGCAAACAGATGTAAACTCCATTGCCAGATGAAATTTTAAAAGGCTGAATGCTTACTAATTGTATTATTAACACAAATGTCAACAAAAACAGCCTAACAGGTGAAGAAGCACAATAAAAAAAATATAATTATACAAACAGTTGTCTTATGAGAGTAAACCATAGTATGCTATCATCAGACTTTAAGGTCACTGTTTTTATTTTTTGTCCTCACTCTTCCCTATTAATACAGTGGCAAATTCTGATCATTTATCCTTATTTACTCTCTCTATGAACAAATTTGCCTATACTATATACTATTCAAATACATAATCATTATCATCATTTAATTAAATAGATTATTATTAGTGGAAACTCATCAAAGCTTTTAAAGCCTATTAATGGTTTCATGCAACTTAAAAATCTAATTTTGGAAGTACCTGGCTAATGACTTTTTATTTCTATTGGTAAACAGGCACCATACACCAGTGTTACTATGAATATCTAAATAATGTGTTTAATTTAACATGCTTATATTTTACTTAAAAGCCAGAATACAGACTTTACAATATATGTGAAACATCATCAAATATGGTGATAATGCCAATATAATATAGCCTACGTATGGCATTTAAAAAAATACTGGCCAGTCATAGTACATTTTTCTGAACTGAATTTTAAATTTTCTAGAGGCTAACATGATAACAAATTTATCATCTTGACTTGGTGCATCACGACCTTCTTTCATACAATTCACAGGCTTTTCTTGTTGCCTTTCCATAAACGATTCTGCAAGAAAAAATTGACTTATGTAGTTACAGCAAAGAGTGAGAAATAGATTCACAGATATGACAAGGGCTTTTTAAAAATTATCTTTTCTGTGTACAGTTATTAATTATAAGAGTAATCCAAAGTGAAATATGAATTAAGACGGTCTCAAATTTTTTTTTTTTTTTTATCCTCACCCGAGGACATTTTTCCATTTTTTATTCAGATAGAGCAGGAAGGAGAGAGAGGAAGGGAGAGAAACATCTATGTGAAAGGGACACATTGAGTGGCTGCCACCACATGACCCAACCAGGGCCAGGGACAAACTGCAGCCAAGGTACATGCCCTTAGCAGGAACTGAACCCGGGTCTCTGTGGACTACAGGCTGATGCTCTAACTGCTGAGCCAAACTGGCCAGGGCAAGAAGGTCTCAAATTTAAAAGACTAAAACACTGGTGGGTTTTGCCCTGCTGGTTTGGCTCAGTTGGTTGAGTATTGTGTTTACACTAGGAGGTCTCCAGTTTGATTCCTGGTCACGGCACATGCGTTGCATGCAGCAGGGGGCATGCAAGAGGCAACCCATTGATGTTGCTCTCTCATCAATGTTTCTCTCTCTCTCTGAAATCGATAAAAAATTTTTAAAAAATTGGTGGGTTTTACTAGAAAAAAATGTCTAGAGGGGAAAATAACACTCTAAGTTCTCCCCCCCTGCCCCGCCCTGCCTTAATCTATTTTGCTTTAGTTTCAGTTATATCGGGAAAACAAAATTTCTTTTTTTTTTTTTTTATCCTCACCTGAGGCCATTTTTCCATTTTTTGTACAGACAGAGTGGGAGGGAGAGAGAGGAAGAGAGAGAGAGGGAAACATCGATGTGAAAGGGACACATCGAGTGGCTGCCACCCACACGACCAACCAGGGCCGGGGACAAACTGCAACCGAGGTACATGCCCTTAGCGGGAACCGAACCCGGGTCTCTCCGGACCGCAGGTGGATGCTCTAACTGCTGAGCCAAACCGGCCAGGGCGGAAAACAAAATTTCTAAAATTCCCCTCTTGCAAACCCAATTAAGATTTTTTTAGGCAAAGAAAGAATGAAAGGAACCAAAAAACCCAGATGGGATGGCCTTTTGTTGTTGTTATTCTTCGGATATCTGCCAATAGAACTAGCTTCTCAAATTACAGTATACTCTTTACCGATCATGTTAAAAGATAACTATAATAGCCCTGGATGGTTTGGCTCAGCGGTTGGAGCGTTGGCCCATGGACTAAGGACTTGCGGGTTTGATTCTGGTCAAGGGCATGTGCGGTTAGGTCACCGACCCTGGTCAGGGTCACAGGAGGCAACCAATTGATGTGTCTTTCTCACATTGATATTTCTCTCTCTCTTTCTTCCTCCCTCCCCCTCTATCTGAAAATAAATAAAAAAAATATCCTTGGGGAGGATTTAAAAAAAAGATAACTATAATACATCACTTAAAATTAGAGGAAAATGAGGTGGAAATTAACCTTAAGAGATCATTTGCAATAAGAAGGTAAAAGTCTACCCTGAAGGGAAAAAATCTCATAAAATGGATTTGTAGTATTATTGTTTATACACAGGAAGTTCATCAAGATCTTGTTCAGGCTAAGCATCGATGCTTTCAGAATAACTTTAATAACATTAACTTTAAGCAACCAAATCAGAAGACAGGATTAGAGGAGGTAGTTTATATATATCTTACTTTAGATAAAAATCACAGCTTTACTGGAGCTGTTATTCTGGACGAGTCCCTTAAGTAAAGGTTGATTTTCCAAAATGAAAGTTAAAAACTGGCATGTGCTTATGCATTAGTGCTGCCAATGACCCTTAGGTAGTTATGTTTTTTCTTTTCTAGAAGAGAGCAAGTGCAAACAAGGAAAAGCAAAGACTACATGTTTTGAAGGGACTGTTTTCTAATATTTATTTAGTGTCTATAACAGGAAGGGGACCAGATGGGGAATTCCAAATGGGTTTAAAAGCTGCAAAGTGGACTTTTTTTATGGTAATTCTTTCTCCTCTTCCACCTCTGTTTCCTTAATATTTTATAGTCCCTTATTTTCTGACTATTTTATTTCAACTCTGGCCCTGACCAGTTTGGCTCATCAGTTAGAGCATTGACCAGGGGACCAAACTGTCGATTCTAGTCAAGGGCACATACCTTGGTTGTGGTTCATCCCTGGCCCTGGGGGAGGCAACCAGTTGATGTGTCTCTCGCACGATGCTTCTCTCTTGCCCTCCCTCCCTCTCCCACTCTATCTGATGATAAATGTAAAAATATCCTCAGGTGAGGATTAAAAAATAAAATATAAAGTAAATCAACTCTGTAAAATTGAGAAAGCTAAGTTTCCCAAAGAACTTTAGGAAATACATATATAATACAATTATTAAGGTTGGTTTGACAACAGAAGTAAAATTCATCAAGGACAATTTGATATAGCTTTTTACTGTATATGGTCTAAACTCAATCTTTTGATTCTCAAGTAGGATTCGGAATGTGAATATCAAAATGTTAAGAGTCACTTTTAAGAAAATTATCTAACCCAACCAGTGTGGCTCAGTGAACTGAGAGCTGTGTCATGGACTGAGAGGTCCTGGTTTGATTCCCGTTCAGGGCACATGCCCGGATTTTGGGCTAGATCCCTAGTAGGGGGCGTTCAGGAGACAGCCGACTGAGGTTTCTCTCTCACATCAATGTTTCTATCTCTCTCTTTAAAAAAATCAATATAAACGTATTTTAAAAAAACTTAAAAAAGAAAAAAGAAAATGGATCTCAGTTAATGACACCTAAATCTCAGATTATATACATGTTCTCATAATGGACAATGTGTCTGAGGAGGTGAGTAGGTAAACGGGAAAAAAATGTATCCAATCAAGAAATAATTACTAGCATTTTATGGCTACATTGAGCTTTCCTTGTTTAAAAATATTTAAAGTGCTTTCTTGCACAGGATCTGGTTTAATGCTCATAAAGTATTATAATTCTCATTTTAAGTAATGAAGAAGCCAAGGAAAATGGATGTCAAATGATTCACCCGAGGCTTATAGAAGTGGAAAAATATGGAGGTGAGAGGTTTTGCTTTTTCAGACATTTATTACAAGGGAGTGGTTTTATAGGTGATGAGAGAGTACACACACCAAACAGGGTGGTTTTCTGCTGAGATTAACAACAGCAGAAAAACACCACCACTCTTTGGGCTGAAGGAACAAGGGTGGAGACAGTGTTATGGATCCCACGAGTGAGGGCTACCAGATGGAAGCTGACGACTGGAACTGGGACCATGGAAAGAGATAGAGCTGTTACTGCAAAAATCCCTGGCTTTCCCCTTCTGCCTGCTTTCAGGCTTCTACCCATTGGCTGAATTTACCCCAAAGCCAGAGAGCAAGGGAGCCTAGAAAATATATCTCCCTGAGATATAGAGCAGAGAAGGAATGGGAAGAGAATGGATCCCAGAACACAGTCCAGTGACCAGCACAGGTCAAAGACCACAGTGGGTAATGATGGAGGTTCTGGGGATAGATTTTCTGACTTTGAATGCTATCAGCTTCTAGTTCAATGACATTGGGTACATTATATAACATCTCTGATTCTCATTTTCCTCTTGTACAAAATAAGGTATTAAAAATATTTTAATTTAGTGGGTTATAATGGAGGGTAAAAAGGAAAACATATGAAGCCACTAGCTAAGCTCTTGATCCATACCTCACCTTCAATAAATGTCACCCATCAAATATTTTAAAAACCTGGATACAAGCAGAAATTAGATCAAGGCCTAAATGTACTAGTGAATGGGACTCAACTTTCAGCATGGCACGCTGCATTATCTGGCATGGGGTCATTTTTTCAAAGAAACAGGTATAACAACTACTTTCTTGGGAAAGAATTACTCATTAAAGCTTTTTTTTTTTAATCCTCACCTGAGGATATTTTTTCTATTTATCTTCAGATAGAGTGGGAGGGAAAGAGAGGAAGAGAAAAGGGAGAGAGAGAAACATCTACGTGAGAGAAACACATCGCCTGGTTGCATCGACTGGTTGCCTCCTACAAGACCGGACCAGGGCCAGGGACAAATTGAAATTGAGATATGTGCCCTTGGCTGGAATCAAACCCTGTGACTCATTAGTCCACAGGCCAGGGCTCATTAAAGCTTTTTAACATCTTTTATGAAGATTGTAAAAGCTCCAAGGTGAACCCTTTTTCTGGGGGGAAAGAGGAGGGGTTAAGGAAATCTCACTGTCACATACATTCTTCAGGGATTAGAAGAATCATTAGCTGTTACCACAAAGAGGACATTCAGCAATAGCCACTGGCCATAAGAAAATGAGGGAATATTCCTGCTTCTCTTTTCTCCATTCAGGGATTTAAACACTTCTGACACTCTGGCAAATTCCACTGGTGTGTATCCTCAGTCTTGTTGAGTACAACCTGACCTCACAAATGGGAGGGGAAAACAGTTCTATTTCTAGGCAAGAGGCTTTTGAAGTGTTTCTTCACTTTCCATAGTGGATCTCGAAGGATGCCATGAAGTAATTCTCATCACGCCTTAGAGAAATCAGCAATATCAGGACCTCTGTTTTAGAGATGGGGAAACGGTGGTGGTATTGCTGAAAATCTAACTGCCCACTCCAGACACTGTGAACTGAGCTCTTGGTGTCCTGGGTTTAAAACAGCAGCGGAGTTACCCTTCTCTGCATTACCCTACTGTCAAGGTAGGTTAAATCAAACATGCAACTCAACTGGGAATATCAGATTATAAATGTGCTTGGGATTGCTTCTTGACTGGCTCTAAATCAAGGCCAAAGTGGCTGGTTGAGAATAAGTCATTCTTTCAGCAAAACTTGTACAAAGAAATTAATACTGATGATAATTATAATTATGATAATAACTATCATTTCTTGAGTATTTACTCCCAGTCAACCCAAGCACAATGCTAAGCAGCCTATACATTCTATCTAATACTCCCAACAACCCACTGAGCCAGGTGCTATTATTGTTCCGATTTTACAGATGAAGAAAAATGAGCCGCAGAGGGGTTACGTAACATGCTTAGGATCGGAAAGCCAGTATGAGAGTTAGTTATTTCAGGTCTGTCTGACTCTAAGGCTTGAGCATAGTACCTCCTTGCTTTAACCAGGCACAGTGCTAGACCTTGGAGACACAATGACCATTACAATGCAGGGAAATGAGTCCTGGAACTAGGGCTGCTAGTGTAGTGAAATAACTGTAGAGCTGTAATTGATAAAGAGCCTTGATGGAAAGCCACAGGTTGCAACATTTTAAGGATCAGTGCAACCTGCCAGCAGAAGAGCAAAGACCCTCATTCTTGGGAGGAAGCAGGAGGGCCAGGGCTGCCTGTGGAATGGTCTGTCCTCAGAATTCTCCCATACATGGTCAAAGTGTGGCTAGGAAATCAATTCAGGTTAGGGGCTGACAGCCCAAGAGGAAAGAAAAAGACAAACTCAAAATGGATGAATGTTGAGAACTCATTCTTGCTGGACTGGAGGGGAAGAGAAAAGAAAAATCTATGGTCCCAACTTTGTGACTTTAACAACAAAAAGGTGTTTTTTTTTGTTGTTTTTTCATTTATATATTTCAAATAAATTTTGTAGGTAAATTATGTATTTGAATGCCAATAGACTTTGTACTAAGATATCTAAAAGAGCAGGATAGAAGGAACAGTGTAATGAGGGACTTTAACTTTTGGTCTTATTTTGGCATGATTATAGCAAACATTTCAAATAGTAAAACTAAATTTTCCCATAGCCAATGTATTTTCCAATGCTGCCATTCGTGGCTCAATTCTTTTGCTTAAAAATTCACCAAAAACTAGAATGCTAAAAGTTAGCATGTCAGTTATTCTCTATATGATATGATTATCTTGTATTTTCATTCAATGGAATTTACCCTTTAGTAAATTCTAGCTTCCCTAATCACTTAACAAAGCCATGATTAAGTACAACTTCTTGATTTTGGAAAAGCAAATAACCCAAATAGTTGCCTTAAGAAATTACAATTTCAAAACATTTAGGCCCTTAATATGGATGTCACCCACCTGAAGTTCTGAGTGTTCTTTTAGGAGTCTGTCGTATTCTTTTGAAAGATTCTCTGATTGTATCTTCATTGTCATCATGTCATTTTGTGCCTTAGAAAGGGCTAGAAAACAATGAATATAATTTAAAATGTTTATTTTAAAATAATTTAAAAATTACAGAAAGTCTGCAAAACTTAGAGGACTCCTTTGTAGCTTTTATGCAAATTCACCAACTATTAATGATGTCTCTCTCCACACACACACAATTATTTTCTTGAACCATTTGAGAATAACTTACAGATATTATACCTCTTTTCTCCTTAATACTTCATTGTGTATTTCCTAAGAACAAAGGTATTCTCTAACATAACTATTACCAAATTTAGAAAATTTAACATCAATACAATACTTTTTCTAATCTACTATGCATATCCTAATCATGGCAATTGTCCCAAATATGTCCCTTTTATTTATTTATTTTTCACTTCTAGTCCAGGACCCAGTCCTAGATCAAAGATCTGCATTAAGTTGTCATATCTCTAGTTTCTTTTAATCTGGAATAGTTCCTCCATCTTAACTGCCCTTCTCTCCCCCATATTTAGTGACACTGAAATTTTTTTTCTTAATCCTCACCCGAGGATATTTTTCTCTTTATCTTCAGATAGAGTGGGAGGGAAGGAGGGAGAGAGAAACATCAACGTGAGAGAGAGACATTGACTGGTTGCCTCCTGCACGACTCCGACCAGGGCTGGGATGAAACTGCAAATGAACCAAATCTGTAACTCATTGGTCCACGGGCCAATGCTCTAACCGCTGAGCAAAACTGGCCAGGGTGTGACAATGACATTTAAAAAAAAACAGGCCATTTTAAAATTAACAGAATGTTTTTTATTTTTATTTTGTCGATGTTTCCTCATGATTAAACTCAGCTTATGCATCCCACTTACATACAAATATGAAATAAGTGATGTTGAACATCTTTCAAGATATCGTATCCAGGGACCCATCTACCTCTCAGTGGTTTTCAATTTTATAGTTGTTTTCCTTCTTGTAACTTAGAAGCAGTATGTGGGAAGATAATTAAGACTATGTAAACATCCTGTTCCTTGATAAACTTCACCTTTATATTTATCATCCACTGATAATTACATAAACCAATCTTCATTATGATGGTTGTGAGATGGTGATTTTGTAGCTTCACCAATCCATTCACATTTATCAGTCAGCACTCTACTATAAAGAAGAGCCTTCCTGCCCAGCCAGTGTGGCTCAGTGGTTGAGCACGGACTTATGCACCAAGAGGTTGCTGGTTTGATTCCTGGTCAGGGCACAGGCCCAGGTTGCAGGCTCGATCCCTAGTAGGAAGTGTGCAGAAGGCAGCTGATCAATGTTGATGCTTCTATCTCATTTATGTTTCTATCTCTCTCTCCCTCTCCTTTCTCTCTAAAAGAATCAATAAAAATTTTTTTTAAAAAAGAGCCTTCCTTTCTTATCCACCTATCCATCCAGTTGTCCGTCCATCTACCCATCCACCCATCGTATGACCTCATAGGTTCCTATTTTTTCAATGATTACTACACTTAATTTCCCATCAGATTTGGCCAGTGGAACCCCCTTCGGGCTGGATCCTATGTTCTTTGATATACTATCCCCACTATTTTTTGAGTACTTTACTTTTGGTACAAGATATTCCAGGTTCATCCTTATCAGAAGGGTCTGCTTTTGAAAAAAATGAGGGAAGAAAAGTATTTAATCATTTTTACTAAGGGGTGGGCAGCATATTTCCTTAAGAACAAAGAAAATCACTTTCTTATACAAAGCTGAAAAATATGGGGTTGTATACATGGCACTTAAAGACTTTATCTCAAGATGATACACAAAAATAGCTATATATTAGCCTTTGTTAACCATGAAGCTTCTAACTCAATAGATAAGACAGAAGTTTTAAAAATACAGCCCGGCCTCGCCGGTATGGCTCATGCAACAAGTATTGACCCATGTAACGAGGTCGCAGGTTGGATTCCCAGTCAGGGCACATGCCTAGGTTGTGGGTCTGATCTCCAGTGGGGGGCATGCAGGAGGCGGCCAATCAGTGTTCTCTCACATCGATTTCTCTCTCTTTCTTTCTTTCTTTCTTTCTTTCTTTCTTTCTTTCTTTCTTTCTTTCTTTCTTTCTCTCTCTCTCTCTAAAGTCAATAAAGAACATTTATTAAAATATCTATCTATCTATCTATCTATCTATCTATCTATCTATCTATCTATCTATCTATCTATCCCAGCCAGCACAGCTCAGTGGATTGAGCATCGTCCCATGAACTGAGAGATCCTGGTTCAATTCCAGGTCAGGGCACATGCCTGGGTTGTGGGCTTGATACTGAATAGGAGGTATGCAAGGAAGCAGCTTATCAATGTTTCTCTCTTGAAATACTGATGTTTCTATCACTCTCTTCCTTCCTCTCTCTCGCTAAATTAAAAATAAATACATATACAGGGTGGGGCAAAAGTAGGTTTACAGTTGTTTAGTATGAAAAATAATACATTAATTAATAAATAATACAAGAATAAACTTTGTGCTTTGAGTACTCACAACTATATATCTACTTTGCCCCACCCCTGGAATGTCCAGCCCGCAGGCCATGAGGCCTGTGAAATGAATACCAGCTAACATCGCATGCCTCACCAAATTAGCCTGACCAAATATAGCAGGCTAATTTTTAAGTTGATAATTTTGTATGGCCCAAGAATGATAAGATAAATATCCAAACAGCCCTTGGCAGAAAAAACGTTCCCCACCCCATAAACGCTAAACATTTAAGTCAACACATTATGGAGAAGCTAATAAGCAAATGTGTAGAAGGGAAGAGAGCATAAGATGGATTTAAGAAATTCTGGGAATCTAGAACTAGCTCTATATACAATTCTGCATATGTAGCCTTTAGAAGTTCTGTATTTGTAAATCTTTTGGGGTAAGAGTTTAAGGAAAGAAAGTGGCATTTATAAATTTAAGAGGCAGTTTTTTGGGGACAATAATATTATAGGTTCTATTTATAAACAATCTGGTTGCTTTTTCTCTTGAGAAGCCATCACATGGGCGTTTTTATATATAAATATAAGTCACTATTAACTAAAGTGCTTTCTATATCAGTACTTTCTAAACAATGTCAAATTAAACTTTCTGCACTGTTCTATATTAGCATTGTCCAATAAATGTTCCACATTTGTGCTGTCCAATATGGTAGCCACTAGCTACATGTGGCTTCTGAGTACTTTAAATGTGCTGGTGCAACTGAAAAACTAAATTTAAAATTTTATTTACTTTAATTAATTTAAATAGATAGCACAGCTTTATAATTTCTTCCATTGTACTTTGGTTAGATTTCGCTGGGACCACAGCCACAACATAAAAACTTACGTATTTGTTTTCAATTTGGGTTCTACAGGGCATCTGCTAGAGGCTACATGCAATATGAAACATGGTGTTATCTTCAGGACCTTACTAAAAATGTTTAAGAGCCTAGATTTCCAGTATATAAAAAGCAAAGACGACTCTACAACTTAATAATGTCTGACTAGCCTATAATGGTGGTTTAAAAGATATCGGTCAGGGAATTACATTGAACTGAGGTTGGTCTTAACGTAAAAAATGATTTATATTTAAATTACTGACATGAATAAATTACTTAGGAAATTTCATAAATCTTAGATATCAACTCACTAGTACCATCTTAAAAGATAACATTTTCCCCATGAATTGTTAGGAGAGAGAATGAGTCAGGTAGTCTTATGAATCTATAAAAGAAGCAAGAGTTTTAATCATAAATGGGTGCTATATTTTGTCAAATGCTTTTTCCCTGAAACTATTGATATGATCCTATAATTTTTATCCTTTGTTTTGTTAATATGGTGTACCACATAAATTAATTTGCATATGTTGAACCATTCTTGTGACCCCAGAATGAACCCCACTTGATCCTGATGTATTATCCTTTAAATTTATTGTTGTATTAAATTTGCCAGCATCCATTTATGATGAAAACACTCAATAAAATAGGTACAGAAGAAACATATTTCAATGTAATAAGGGCCATATATGACAAACCATCAGCTAATATCATATTCAATGGTGAAAAACTGAAAGGTTTTCTTTCCTCTCAGATCAGGAACAAGACAAGGATGCCCACTCTTGCCACTGTTATTTAACCTAGTACTGGAAGTTATAGCCAGAGCAATCAGGCAAGAGAAAGAAATAAAAGGCATTCAAATTGGAATGAAGAAGTAAAATTGTCACTTTTTATAGATGACATGATTATATAGAAAAACCTAAAGACTCCACCAAAAACCTATTAAAAATAATAAACAAATATAGTAAAGTTGCAGTATATAAAAATCAATGTACAAAAATCCACTGCATTCCTATATACAGTGAAATTTCAGAAAAAAGAAATGAAAAAAAAAGTCTTTTGCAAAAGAATAAGATATCTAGGAATAAACTTAACAAAGGATGTGAAGAACATCTACACTGAAAACTATAAGACATTACTAAAAGAGATTGAAAAAGACACAAAGAAATGGAAAGATATTCCATGTTCATGGACTGGAAGAATCAACATAATTATAATGGCCATATTACCCAAAGAAATATACAAATTTAATGCAATCCCCATAAAAAAAATCCTTTAGCATATTTTCAAGAAATAAATAAGAAATCATCCAATTTGTATAGAGCCACGAAAGACCCCAAATAACAAATGCAATCCTGAGAAAATGGAAAGAAGCCAGAGGTATCACATTCCTTGACACCAAATTATACTACAAAGCAACCAAAATAGAAACAGTATGGTATTGGCATAAAAACACACACAGATTAATGGAACAGAATTGAGAGTCCAGAAATAAATGCACATATTTATGGGCAAAACATTTTTGACAAAGGAGCTAAAAACATAAAACAGAGAAAAGAAAGCCTCTTCAATAAAAAGTGGTGCTGGGTAAAATGGAAAGCCACATGTAAAAAAATGAAACAAGACTGCTATAGTTCTGAGAGGGAAGTTCATAGTACAGGCCTACCTCAAGAAACAAGAAAAAGGAGGCTTTGAAAATGGCAGTAAAGTGAATGGAAGCT